AGGGGAAAGCCATGAAGGTGCAAAAAGATGGAAGGTGGTTAAGAGACTCAACATCACCCATGATATGCAAGTATAGGTCAATTCCTCTAGAAACGCAAAAGATCAATGACAGAAGTCTATAGAAAAAAATAATCACTAAGGCGGAAGACTCCGATATTTGCTAATCCAAGAGTGTGTACAGAATGAGACATACTATTCAAAAAACACACACTCCAAAATAAGTAATGACCGCAGAAAGCACACATATATTAACATATAATGAATATTCTTATCAATTCCAATATGTACCAAGGATCACTCAAAAATTTCAAGCTTGCAAAACCATACTAAGAAAATCTTTTTGGGATTTTTTTTTTCAAAAATAAAGCAAGATTAAAAAAAAAACGAACAAGCACACATTATTTATTTATTTATTAAAAACAACACACAAAAACCCAAAAACTAAAACAAATAAACAAATTAACACAAGTCAAGTTTTCTCACCCAAACTGATTTGGTACGAACAAAGTTGTGAGAATTGCAGTTCTTGGGTGGTGTCTTGACGTTGTGGTTCCTTTCCCCTGCAATAGGAACCCGTCTCGACATGGTTTCCAACTTCCTATTCCTAGGTCTAGGCAAATACACTTTCCCATGCAACTTATAACAATAAGGGCGAATATGACCATGCATACCACAATGATGACAAATAAAAACAGGATGTACCTTCTTTTCTTTTACCTTACCAACTCTAGAAAGTTTGAGAAGGCCATCCTTATGTTGAATTTTTTGTTCTCCCTTTCCTTGAGTTCTTGTATCATGAGATGTTGATGCACTCTGTTTTTGCTCTTTCTTATCACCAAAGCCAATGCCACTCTTGTCACAACTCATTTGTTGAGATCCAATGATATCCTCCAAAGTCTTTGATCCTTTGTTCCAAAGACTAATGGTAGCCATAGTACACTTGAGATCTTCCTCTTTCTTGATCATTAGTTATTCCAAAGAAACTTGTGACATCTCGAGAGATTCAATCTTTTCTTCATACATGGCATGGGTTTGCAGTAGCTCATTCCTCTCTGTCTCACAAGTCAACAGTTTTGCACAAAGAACTTGTTGATCATCAGCTACCTTGATGGCATTAATCCTGGCCTTGGAAATCTCCTCCTTAAGTTTGACATTCTCATTTTCACATGCTTGGAGTTTCTTTGTGAGTTTGTCATTCAATTTGAATAAGTTAAGAGACTCTTTATATAACTTTTCATAAGCTTGCTCAAGCTCTTCATCATCACTTCCCGAGGATTCATCATCAGCGGCATTCTCAACTGGGCTCTTCGGATACTCTGTTCGTCCTTCAGTTTCAGAAGCCACCATGAAAGCAAGGAATTGTTTATGTCCCTCTTCACCTTGATCTTCATTGTCACTTTCATCTTCATCAGATTTTGATTCATCATCCCAAGTGATAGCGAGGGCTTTCTTCTTCCTCAATCGAGTGGGGCATTCTTGAGCAAAGTGGCCAAATCCTTGGCATTCATAGCATTGGAGTCTTTCAGAGTTCCCTTGTATCTTTCCTTTCTCCTTCTTGGCTATAGAATTAATTTTGAGTTTATCTTTGTCTTTGGATTTATGAGTATGAGTAGATTCTAAAAGATTAGGATTCTTTTTCAAAAAAGATTTTTTAAATTGTTTAATAAAAGCAGCCGTAATCTTGGAATCTATCTCACAATCCTCATCAGAATCCTCTCCAACTCTATGAGCACTACTGAAAGCAATATCTTTTTGTTTTTTTTTTTTTGAAATTCCTATGTGACTCATAAGTTTGGAGATTTCCAACGAACTGATCTAGCTTGAGGTTGTCAACATCTTGAGCCTCCTCAATAGCCGTAACTTTTGGTTGGAACCGATCGGGCAAGGATCTCAAAATTTTTCCCACAACTTTGGATTCTGGTATTTTTTCACTTAAATTGAAGCTGGAATTTACAATGTCACTCAACTTCGCATAAAATTCATCAAAGGTCTCACTATTTTTCATTGAAAGGTTTTCGAAACTAGATGTGAGCCTTTGAAGTTTTGAGTGTTTAACAGAAGGAGTGCCCTCATGAATCCCAAGCCTCTTTTGCGACTTCACAATTGCAAATCCGACTAAACTCTTCAGGTGTGACAACGCAAAAGAGAGAATTGATAGATTTACTATTCTAGCTACTATTTTGGTAATCAATTGTGTCCCACTTTTCAATTGGTTTGGGGAAAGTTACTCCATCAATGGTAATTGTTGGTTCGGTCCACCCATTCATGACAGATTGCCAAACTTTTTCATCTACAGATTTCAGAAACGATCTCATCTGAGCTTTTCAAAAAGAATAATTGGATCCGTCAAGTACGGATGGTCGAACCATAGAATTTTCCTCATGAATTGAATCCATTATCACAAATCAAACAAGATCTCGTTCTAAAAGAATATTTTTTTTAAAAAAAATAGAACAACCTGCTCTGATACCAATTGAAAAATCTAGAAATCCCTTAGATATTGATTTGTGATTATGTAACAATTTTAAGTAGTATATAACAATCCCAATCAAACAATTAAGACAAATCAACACAACAATTTCAACGTGGAAAAACCACAATTGGACACCTCCAACTGTGATTAAAAAACCACGGGCAATAGCCACAAAACAATCCACTAAGAAGATTTAAAGGAATTACACAAGTATACTCTCAATTGCCTAGTGAATCCACGCCTAATTAAACCAACCTCTATGTGCCTCTTCCAACCCTGTCTTCACCTCGGAATTGTCTTTACGATGAACCACTCCAGAATCCACCGAAGCTTCAGGCTCAAATTCTTCAGAATCCACCGAAGAACAACTGTCTCTCTTTTATGTTAACAACCAAAACCTTTGATGTACTCTCTTTAAATTATGAGTTGAATACTCAATAAAACATCAAAGAAAACTAATAAAATATCCCCAGATATAAACCTTAAGAACCAAAAAGAAGATCTGGAGGAATTAAATAGTTTTGGGAGAAAATCAACTATTTATAGAAAATCCAAAAGTAATCCTAGTTTTGGAAGAATTCCAATTACTTATAGAAATCCAAAAGTAATCCTAGTTTTGGAAGAAAATCAATTTTTTAAAGAAACCCTTGTCAAACGGGATTGCCAATAATTAAACCTAACAGGCATCATTAAGTATCACAATGGCATCACCGAAAATTGTTATGCTCGCTATTGAGTGACTGCTCTGTTTCGCCCGAGAAAACACATTTGGTCGGAGCACTATTCATCAAGCGGATTATTCTTCTGGTGGATACTATTCATTCGTTAGTCACTATTTCGGCAGTAACTATTCCGGCGAGGTCACATCTCTAAAAAATTAGGTGGTTCAGCAAATCATATAAAGCAATAACTTATAACAGTTTATGTAGGTGATGAAATGCTGACCATTTAAAGCGATAAATTATAGCAATTTACGTAGGTAGTGAAACACCGACCATTTAAAGCGGTAAATTATAACAGTTTGTGTAGGTGGTGAAACACTGACTATTTAAAGTGGTAAATTACAACAGTTTATATAAAACAGTAAATTACCATAGTTTATGTAGGTGGTTTGAAACCGACCATTCAAAGCGGTAAAATAGTTTATCACAGTTTATATCGCATTTTATTGAGTGAAAGTTTGCAAAAATTCATCTTTTGGAAAAATGATGAATTTTCTAATTTCCAAACTCTCTTCTGATTACTCTCAAGATTGTGGAATATGTTTTCAATTCTTAGTCTAAAGTTTAAAATTTCAACTTTAATGGTATTTTTTGAATGGTGTATTGGTGAAAAGGTAATGGAGAGAATTGAAAGAGAGGTTTGGTAAAAAATATATATATATATATTCAAGGCTTTTTTCCCCCTCTTTTAAAAGTCAATTTTCTTCCTTTTTTTTCTTTCCCTGTTTTTCCTGATTTTTTCTCCTATCTGAAAACAATTTTTTTTTGTATTTGTCCCTGTTTTTCCTGATTTTTTCTCCTATCTGAAAACAATTTTTTTTTGTATTTGATTCTCCTCCCCAGTTCCCTCCTCCCCCGTCTCTTTCTATAAAAAAAAAAAAAAAACATTTTGGAAAAAAAAATGAGAAAAAGACAGAAAAAAAAAATTTCGGTGGAGAAGGAAATGATTTCAAAAGATTACTGTGTATTGCATAAATTTACTATGTATTTTATTATATAACAATATATAAAAATATTATTTGTATATATATATATATAAATACCTAAAAAAATACATTAGAACATATAAAATTATAAAATAAAAATAAATAGACTTATAAAATATATTTTAACGGGGTCAAATATATGAAATTTAAGTTAAAATCGATTTAAAATATTTTGGCCAAAACGGATAAAGGAGTGGATTAAAACTTAAATTTTATCTTTTTACTACGAATCTTGTGAGATAACATATTCTTATTTTTATCATCGAGTGTTCAAAAAAAAAGTACCAAAATCTTAAAGTCAGTCAAAATAGAGTGTCTATACACACCACATCAAATTTAAATTTAAGTCATTTTTTATTCTCAATTGCTTTTTAAATTATTTTTCAGTTAGGTAGCATTATGTTAGGTAGCATTATCAAAAAGAAAAATAAAAATAAAAAAGTGTGTATATACATATCACATCTGCCCTTCAATTCAATCTGATTTTTGACAATTAGTGATTGAGAAATGTTAGGAATCATGAAATTTTTTTCATGAAAATAATCATGAAAGATTTGTGACCCTTAGGTTACCTTGATTAGTGTGTGGTGTTTTAATCTAGGTGTAATCCAAATGTCACAAATCTTTCATGATCATTTTCATGAAAGACTTTTCATGATACCCAACATTACTGTTAGTGATTAATTAACTTTTTCTGCATGACAGCTGTAACCATAGATACGTGTGGTTAAGTTATGTACACTATAGTTAATCTCTTTGGTTTGATATTTTGTACACTTCTTTAGACATCAAGTTGTGAAGAATCAATGTATAAATACTTGGTGTTTTGCTGCTGAAAAATCTACTTCTATTCTTCTTGCCAAAATCTGGTCAAGCTCTTGTTGTTTTGTTCAATTCTAATGCTGAAACAATAACTTACATAGGCCTACACAAAAGGGTGCCATCTGGTATCAGAGTTGTTGGTTTGTAGAAGCAATATCAGGTGCAAGGTGAAGAAAGAAAATCTTTAGAACTCCATGGCGGCCACAATTCCAATTTTTGATGGTGAGAACTACGAGTTTTGGAATGTGAAGATGAGAACTCTATTTCTATCTATGGGATTGTGGAATACGGTAGTGAATGGGTACAATGAGAACAACGAGGAGGAACAACAGAGGGATGCTGCAGCTCTTTCTCAAATCCAGCAAGGCGTCTCAGACTGGATCTTTAAAAAAATCATGAATGCTACAAAAGCGAAACAAGCTTGGGACATTCTTCAAGAAGAATCTCGAAAAGAAGAGACGGTAATTTGACTAGTCAAACTTCAAACACTAGCATTTACCATTTTTTTACGTTTATAATTTAGTTTTTGTTTTTGTTCTTACAGCCAACGCCATGTAGTTGGAATAGACTCTCAAGACCCATAAGACTCTGAAGAATGGCAGTACCCGCAAACATCTCAAAATCGAAGGATGCCATTTTGATAGTGGCCACACTTATAGCAACGGTGGCCTTCACAGCAGGTATCACCATGCCTGGTGGCTACATTAATGATAACAAAGACCCGAACCAGGGAATGGCAATTCTAACAAGAAAAGCAGCTTTCATAACTTTTGTGATAACAGATACCATTGCCCTGACATTATCCGTTTTTGCAGTGCTTGGCCACCTCTCTACTATGTTTGATGACGACCCGATTGTAGTAAAGAAGCAACATAGTTTAGATCTTACTGATACTATTTATGCTATGATTGCAATGTTGTTGGCATTCATTACAGGGACATATGCTGTGTTAGCACCTTCAAGGCTTTCTATTTCAGTTTGTGTAATCCCTTCCATCATTTGGTTCATCCACGTTTACTGTAAGTTGGTCATGCTACCTCATGTGCGAACCGTAGAGTTCTAAGCCTAGCGCTCTCTCTCTCTCCCCCGAGCGAGCGAAATCAGACAATCTATAGTTTATGATTTGGGATTTGTCGATTTGAGCTCTGATGAGTGCACCCAATCTGTATCAGTTTCAGCAATTATGTAAATAAAATCTATGCTTATTGTTCCATTGGCTTGCAAGTAAAATAAAGATGCCAAAAATCCTTGACTAAAATTAAAAAAAAATAATAATAATTGTAAGACTCTACTAGATATATTAGAGGCTCTTGATACTATTTAATGAAGCTATCAAAGAGAGTTTTGAACACAATGGCCTTGTTTGGAATGTTGGTTATTTTAGTTGGTTATTTGATTTTTTAGCTATTTTAATCTAACTAAAATAGTTGTGTTTGGAAAGGTGGTCTTTTTTATTTTTTTATTTTTTTATTTTTTGGAGAAAAAGTAAAATAAATATGGATTGAATGTGACATTTTGTCTTATTAACTGTTTTAACATATTTTTTTTTCTTTTTAGTGAGTTATTTTAATCCACTCCTCTATCTAAAAATGTAATGGTAAACCTAATCAGTTTTTGTAAACACAATGTGTAATAAAATGAGGAGGTCAAAAATCAACAATTTTTACCATCATAAAATTCATCTACTGGTGGAAATAGTGTAGCAACAGCCTAATTTTAATCATGATTACTCATAACTTTCACCAATTTAATTATGTCACAATTAAAACACAATTGATTTTGGTTATATATTGACATGCTAAATGGGGCTGGTAATTCATGTCATTTTTTTATGTGACACATTATCAATCACATATTTGATGCATGCCATGCTATATATACACTCTATTTATAGGATGTGTCCCATTAAATGTTACGCCTCACTTTTTATGCCAACGGCTACCATTACCAAATCTTTTATTATAATACAATTTTAGAGATCATGTGCGGGAATTCAATACAATAACGAGTACTATTATTAAAGGTTCTCTCATTCGAATATGAAATAAATTCAACTTGAGATAAAAATAAGTAAACTGCCCGTAGGCTTACATCTTTTAAATTAAAAGAAAGGGTTTAATCCTTTTACATCAATGGCATTCCGCTTACAAATAAAAGGCCCTGTGGCCAATACATAAAGAAGATCCTCTATCTTGAACCCTTCTCGACGTTCACCTGAAAAAGGATTAGCAGCGTGGGATGAACATAAAGTCCAGTAGGGATCCCAATATGATCCTATCAATAACAACATATAGATAACTATGATCATGAATGCTTTAAATAATATCATATACATATTGTGACGGTTTATACAGAAATATACTTATATAGGAACTTTTCTCAAAATCATTCATTTCGCTCAACAACATAAGCAATCTACTTTTCTTTCTTCTTGTTACATTTTTTCCAAAATTCATAACACAATAACAAGTTCATGAAAACAATTTCGCAAAGCCCATTACGTTTTACCTTCTTGAAACATGTTCACAAGTATCCGATGTCCTTCACATTATTCACAATCTCGATACAATACTTGCGTTTGTGTAGACACCCAATTTTTGACCGTCCTCAAGACTTGGACGTCACCGTTTGAACACTCGGTGATCATCCGTGTTTGTGTTCGTCTTGAGTTCTCGGAGGTTTCGGCTACGCGCCTTGCCTCAAGACCTCTCGACTTGCCTGTTTTGTGTTTGGTTTTGCACCAAACACTTGTTGTTTTCCTTCTGAGGGTGGGAAATGGCTTGTTAGCCATCCCCACACCTCACCGGCCATGGCTTGAGGCCACCGGCCCTGTTTTGTTACTACCGGCCATTGGTAATGGCCGGCTGGCACTCTTTATGGTCGGCCGACCATTGTTTTGGTCAGTTTGTCATTTTTGGCTGGCCGATCACTGTTCATCTGCTTTTGGCAGATATTTTGTACCAGCTGTGATAGCTGGTACCCACTTTGTACCCCCTCCATACACGTGTATGGAGGGATTTCCCTCTTGCTTAGCTTGTTTTGTAAGCCTTGCAAGAGTGGATCTCTATAAAGGGAGGGCTTCTCCTTCCTCCTCAAGGGTTCCAAGAAGTTCCAGAGCTCTAAGATTGGGGTTAGGAGTCTTGTATCTATCCTATCTCTATATCTCACTCTCCTTGCATATTTGTGTGTGTTCAGGGTGTTTTTGTTCTTAGTTTTGCACTAAGACACATAGTATTACTCCATACCTTGGTTGTTGAGGTGCCAAAGGGTTGTTCCTAAAGTTCTTGGGCTGGTTTTGACCTAAGGAAGGTGCTAGAGCTCTCTTCTTGAAAAAGGTCTTCAAGGGTAAAAACTTTACCCCTTTATTCCCCATTTTTGCATAGGCTTTTAGCCATCCTTGCATCTATTTTTAAGCTTAGTCTATAACTAATAAAAGTTCTGATTTTGAGTGCTTAAAATAGTTGTTTGAGGTCTCTTTGAGGTTTGGGGTTGTTTGACCCCTCTTAGGCCTTGTTTGGCCTCTTTTTTGTGCATTTTTGGCGAGCTCCGGGACCACCTTGTGTTGGCCTCCTCTGGATTTCAGTGGTGGGGATGGTGTTTTGAGGTCCTAAGAAGGAGAGGGCCATCCCCTCTCCTTGTTGTCTTCAATACTTGCCATCTTAGCCTCATGTGTGAGCACCTTTCTTGAGTTCATGTTGGCCATGTCTTAAGTGGTGTTTGTGCTTATTTTGCCATGATATAGCACTATTTTTAATTGGTTTAGACACACCATGCATGCTTAGCATGCCTGTCTTGTAATGCCATAAAATTTCCTTAACATGCTTTGTGCTTTGAGCCTTATCTTTAGCATGATTTTGGCTTAGCTTTGTGAAGATTTTATGCATGTTTTGATGTGCTTGAGGTCTGATTTTGGTCATTTGGGTCATCCATGACTTGCTTTATATAGCTACCATGCAATCTCTCTTGTAGGCCTTGAGTATTGGATCCTCTAGCATGCTCTACTTGCATCATTTCAGTGGTTTGGCACCATTAGTCATGTCATTTCAGTCCATATAGCATGCTTGTATACTTGCATTTATGGCTCCTTTGATGTTTCAAAAGGTTTGTGTTTTGTGCTCCATGTTTGGGTCATTGTGCATGCCTTTAGACTTAGGCATTTGGAATGCCATTTAAGTGTGTTTTTGGTCTTGTTTAGATCTGCATTGGGACTATTTTAGGTCCCCATGGCCCTTTGGGGCTTGCTTCATTTAGCCTTGGTTTGAGTCCCGTGGCTAGTTTTCAAGTTTTGAGCTTGGTTGCTGTAGACACCCCATTTTTGACCGTCCTCAAGACTTGGACATCACCGTTTGAACACTCGGTGATTATCCATGTTTGTGTTCGTTTGGAGTTCCCGGAGGTCTCGGCTCGCGCGCCTTGCCTTGGAATCTCCGAACTTGACCGTTTAGTGTCTGGTTTTGCACGAAACACTTGCATCTTGCCTTTGAGAGGCAGGGTAGGGCTTGTAGACCATCCCCACCCACCACCGGCAGTGGCTAGAGGCCACCGGCTGGTGTTTGCTGCTACCGGCAATGTTTATTGCCGGCCGGCACTATTTGTTGCCGGTCAGCACTATTTAGTGCCGGCCGGCACTCTTTTTGGCCAAGATGGCATTTTTGGCCGGCCGACTACTGTGCATCTGCTTTTATCAAATATTAAACTTTAATATAATATAATAAAAAAAAGAAGACATTTAA